GCAGCTATAATAGCCCTGTTTTACACATTTGAACACTGGGAGAATGCAGACCAATTATGCCCATAGGTTTGTAACTTGTTCCCATTTTCCTCTCATCKCTTGTGCATGTAACAGATTTATTCCTGTATCATAGAAAAGCTTGTGWACACACTTGCAGATCAATATGTTGATCTTTTAATTCCCCACCCAAACTGTGCATATTGTAAAGGGAAACATATGAAGTGTGTGCAGGACCAGTCTTCTGCCCTATTTGCTGGCAAAACCAGGAAGCACAAATTTACACTTACAGACCATAAAACACACAAGGCCACTGAAACCACCCTTTGGTGTAGATGTAAGGGGAAATTGGGATTCAGCTGACATATTTTTTAAATGTTTGCAGGATGGCATTTGCCAATGTAAACCTGACTTGCAAACATACAGTGTCTTTCACTGTGAATGGTTTCTTTTTGCTATAAATGGCCCCTTTATTAAAAATGGTCTCCCTTTACATTTTCATCTTGGACTATYTGAACTACCCAACCAATCTTTTCCTTTTTTTAACACATTACTTCAGCTGAAGAAAATAAAAATAGGCAAATATTATTATTCCAGGAATACTGGAAAATTATTCCTTTTAATGAACCAGTTCCTTTTAAAACATGCAGAGAGATTTTCAGTACTGGCACATATAAGCTTGTGCTTTAATGTTCAAACKCAGAAACTCTCTGCTTACACTTCTAAACTTGGAAAAGAATCAAACTTATTTGAGAGGCTACTCTGGCAAGTAATGAAGATAGAAACAAGACCACGTGGGAGATGTCTGCTGGTCAACCTCGTAGTCAACACAGGAAGAAAAATAGGAAGCCCAATTCACTGGAAAAACTAGATGCTCCAGGTCACTTCAGTTGCCTGTCTTGGTGTATGGACATGGCCTTTTCTCTCAGGACACTTTGGCAAGAATGGAGATCTGCCTTACAGAAGCATAAAGACTCTTATGACCCCAAATGGAATGGTCTAATGTTCCATAGAACAATTCTCTCCTTATCAAAATATTAAATCCTGCATGCCCTCAATTACTCTGTGCTGGCAACAATATAATAAAGAAAAAAGTGGATAATACAGGAAATATGAAAATTTCACAGTCAGAATTTCTCATCCAAGGAAATAACTGTCAGTTTTGTGGCTGCAAAGAATCATACATGTAGGAATGTATAGTCTAAAATAGCTTGTATGTAATTTTGCTTTTCTTTTTTCCTATAGATCTCTAAGCAACTTGTACAGTTCTCTGCATTGAACTCTCCCCTTTCAGAGRGTGAAAGCAGTAAGTAAAGTTGTGGACATGTAAGCTCTTAAAAAAATGCTGCTAGTCATTAATTACAATTTTCACATATAAATTTCAYAGCATTTGGATGGAGAATTTTGGTTCAGGCCTGGCTTTCCCCGTATACACTTTTTAAGGTGTTTGAGGAAGATATATTCTGAAAAAAAAAAAAAGCATGTAGAACAAATAAGTATATCTATATATAGAAACCAGAAGAATATTTGCTTGGAATCTCACCAGGATTAAGTATTATACCAACCATGTCTCGTTTGACAAAATGAATGTCAGAGATCACACTGCTTCTGAACTACTCTTGTGTGAGTTCAAAGAGGAGCTATTAAGTCCTGGATCTGTGCCTGAGCTTTTCGTTCCTGGTACCATCAGAGGGTGTGATCATTAATCCCAGTTAAACAAGAAGTCAGCATGTTCCACAGAATCAAAGGCTGGACTGGAATTCGGGAGAGAGGCGTCCTGCTCCTGCTTCTGTTGATGAGRTGTTATGTCACTTYTGAAGGTCATGTARGCTGAGCTTCTCCTGCTTTTTGCCYAACAATTTGATATTAGCTTGGGGGCCATAACTATACCTGCCTATAGATTTTTCAGTGTGTTGAGCCAGTGTAGCAAACATCATGAGCAGTGCATTTTTACAGAATAAAGAGTGCATTTATATGTATTGTAGTTATAGATTTAACACCTTTTCATAGTAAATTGAACTATTGGGAGCTTCTACACAGACTTAAAAAATTTCACATTTGCCTACATCATTAAAGGAGATCAAATCCCATTGATCCTGAACAAGTCTTACATTRTGCCTCTATCTCCCTCTGATTGTCTGAACCCTTTTACTTGAAGCAGGATCCATAAATGAATGAGTTGGTTTGTGCAGAGATTGATAAGGTCAATATACACATTTGTGATTGGAGTTTAATGTGAGGGTTCAGTCCCATGCTCCATTTCATTGTGGAGAAGCAAACTCCTTTGTTACACACTCCACCATTAAAGAAATCMTGGGAATCGTCAGCAAAATCTAATCTGTTGATTAGATCATGTTATGCCTGACAGATGCTATAGAAGAAACAGGATATTTGCACAAAAACTGCTTGGCASACATATGGGAATAAAGAAATGCCAACTATTCAGTAAGGCTTTACCTGCTATGCCTGATTTTGCAGAGGGATATAGAAAGAATTGAAAGGTTAAAAGGAAGGGCAAAAAATATAAGTAGCTTAGTTCTTAAGTTCAGTAATGAATGAAAGCCATCAAAACTATGGCAAATCATAAAAGGTATTTATTACAAAACAGGAACTCACAGGTCTGATCGTGTTGCCCCTCATAAGCATGAAATTCTAGAACAGACATCCCACAGGAAGGTWACTGCAGGAAAGGACTTAATAGAGAGCATGAATGATATATATTTCAAGGAATAAGGGAAAGAACCCAGCCTCCTAGGCCTATTTGGTTTGTTTCCAAAATATGAGACTCCGTTTCAAGAGAAAAATGGATTTCCAGTCAGATGGATCAGAACTGGTGATGATTTAGGGTAATGTTTGTTTTTCCCYATGTGGCTGAACAGTGATTTAAAGGAATCTATATTAACAGAAGCAGCTGGTGTGTGAGTAGATGATAAAACTTAACAAAGRCAGTTTGGTATGGAAGATGGGCATGCATATACATGGTATGTCATGTGGCTAAAATTCATGTTAAAAACAATTTGAGTTTTCTGTTTCTACAGATGTCAGGTACTCACTATATGAAAAACATCTATTTGTGTTATTTTTTTGGTTTTTTTTTTTTTAGGGGGGGGAGGGGTTTTGGTTGGTATTTTTTTTTTKGCCTCAATAAGCTGCACCATGTTGTAATTTGGGTAGTATATGGTACTGCAGAAGGAAACCTGTGTTTCTCTTCTGCTCTTGAAAAAACCCAACCCAGGCAATTCTTTTGCCCTATTTTCTTTTCACCTTGCATGCAGCTCATGRACCAGTACTCTCTTGCTTCATTAATAAAGTCTCATCTCGGTCCTTCTCTTTCCATCTCACATTCACATTGATAATTTCTGCTCCGATGTCAATGCTGCACGCTGCTGTGTTGGGGATCACTGAAGCACAATGAGCTCCACACCTAGATCAAGCTTTGTGGATCAATAGCACAGGAWCAAGATTTCATCCTCTTGAGAACCAGAATTTAGGGAGGTCTGGTCACTGCCTTTAAGTGAACAAAAATGGTAAGCAAAGGGCACTTTGGTAGTGCTATTTGACTGCTGCTGTTACCTTTTCTGGTTGCTGTCAGGGATTGCAGACTGTCAGTGTTATATTCCCATTTCCCTTCCTGTCACTGATGTAAGTTTTTGGGCCACTGCCTAGAAGAGATCTCTGTAACAGAGGTCCCTTCTGTCCTTTTTTCCCTTGACAGAATGAATATTCTCTAGTTCCATACATGGCTGTTTTCAAAGGAGAATGAAGAGTCCTTTCATAACCTTGAACTGCGGCATCTTCGTGTTGGGAAGAGACTTTCCTCAAACCCTCCATTTTGTATAATTTGCGGTAGGAATTGATGCCACACTTCTTCCTCTAGATCAAAAGGGACAGAGCCGAGCTCCCTCCTTATTCAGTGGCTTGGTCATCCTCACTGAGGGTCTCCATTCCTCCATAGGAAGGGCACAGTGCTCTGTGGTGAGGGGTAAATGCAGAATCACAAAATAGACGAGGTTGAGGACTTCTGGAAATCATCTTGTCCAAAACACCTGCTCAAGCAGGGCTGCCCAGAACAAGGACCTTGTTCAGATGAGTACCTTCATGGATGGAGACTCCACAAYCTCCTTGGGCAACCTGTGCCAGGGCTTAGGCATTGTGACAGTAAATAGTGCTTCCTGATGTTCAAAAGGAACCTCCCATGTTTCAGTTTGTGCCCATCAGCACTGGTCTTGTTACTGGTCGCCACTGAGAAGAGCCTGGCTCCATCCTCTTTGCATCTTCCCTTTGGGTATTTGTACACATCTGTGAGATCCCATTGAACCTGCTCTTCTCTAGGCTGAAAAGTGCCAGTTCTCTCAGCCTTTCCTCACAGAAAAGTCCAGCACTTTAACCACGTTCCTGACCATTTTCTGCACTCTCACCAGTATGTTCACATCTCTCTTATACTGGACCAGCCAGATCTGAACCCAGCACCCCAGGTGTGCCCCCACCAGTGCTGGGCAGARGGGCAGGATCACCTCCCTCGACTTGWTGGCATTGCTTTGCCTAATGCAGTCCAAGGTATTGTTCATTTTTTTTGCAGCAAGGGCGCACTGCTGCCTCATGTGTGACCTGATGCCCACCAGACCTGCCGGTGCCCTGCCTGTTATTCCTCCCCAGTGGCCGGGCTTTGCCCTTCCCCTTGTTGAAGATGCTCTCCCAGGGTGTCCCCGGGTGCACAGAGCGCCTGTCCTGGAGGGGCAGCGGCAGCTGTGGAGACACCCACCCACCCACCCAGCCGGGCTAGGGAAGCAGCCTGCGGAGGAAGGCGAGGAAGACGCAGGGAGGATCGGAGAAGCAGCGTCCCGCGGAGCACTCCCGCCGCCACCTCACCTCCCGCTGCCACGCCGAGCGGCTCCCGGTGCTGCCCGGCGGCCGCCCCCGGCCCTGCCCCTGCCCCGGCGCTCGCCCACACCGCGGGCGGGGGCGGAGGGCGGAGGGCGGGGAGGTCCCGGCGCGGAGCCGAGCGCCGCCAGCCCGCCTCGCCCCTCACACGCTCGCACACCGCGCACCCCGCCCGGCCGCTCCCGGGCCGCCCGCCCATGGCTGACAGGAGCCTGATCGAGGGCGCCGAGCCCCTGCCGCGCCGGGAGGAGCCTCCGGAGTGGGGCTACGAGGAAGGTGAGCGGGCAGTGGAGAAACTTCATCCGCGGCCGGGGGAGGAGGAGGCGGTGTGGGGATTTCAGTGGCGGAGCRCAGCCGGGTTCGCTCCGGGCCGTCCTGAGCCCGGGGAGCGGGGAAGCGCCGTCCCTTAGCGAGCCGCGGGTCCGTCCCCGCTGGCGGGAGGGCTCAGGAGGAGCAGCCCCTTCCTTCCCCCGTCGGGACACCGGGCGGGCAGGGTCTGTCTGAGCCGCAGCGCGGGGTGCCGGCTCCCCCGGTAATCGCTTTCCCTTGTGCCTCAGGAGTGGAGTGGGGGCTGATTTTCCCCGATGCTAACGGGGAGTACCAGTCGCCCATTAACTTGAACTCGAGAGAAGCTAAATATGATCCCTCGCTCCTGGAAGTGCGTTTGTCACCGAACTACGTGGTGTGTCGTGACTGTGAGGTGATCAACGACGGGCATTCGATTCAGATTGCCCTGAAGTCAAAATCAGGTATGGTGAAACATGGCCTTGCATTTCCCGGCTAAAGCTTGTGTTGCCTGAAGACTCTCTCTGCTTGTGTCCTGGAGTGTAGGGAAAGCAGCTTTTCCCAGCGGCGAGCGGTTGTGCCCATTCGGCATGGACTATGCCCGGTGAGAGTGTAGCTGTTGACTTTAGTAGGAAGAGGAGCAAGTGTTGCAATGGGAGTTGCAGATTTCGATGCCAGACTGGATAGTCAGTCAGTTTGCTTCGAARCATATCCAGAATCTCCTCTTGTGGTGGTGGTATCCAGTTCACTGGCATGAACAGCTGTCTGCTTTCAGAAACAGTACAGACTTGCTAAGACTGTAGTGCCAGACCATTCTGTRCAGCTGGCAAGATTCATCCATGGTTAAAAGACCATGTAAGTTAAAAGAGCCCACTTCCACTAAATTGAGTGGGTTCTGCATATTAAGTACAGAATTTGGCAGCTTAAGATTGACATACCAGTTACACACACTCACAATATTGATGAGGACCAAGTAGGAAGCGGTCCTCATTTCTTAAAGGATGGCATTTTTGGTGTCACTCATCAAATATGAATTATAAGCAAATAATAGAAGAAACAATTCCAATGTAAGTGAGATTTCAGTATCTTATTCAGGCTTTTCGTCTGGGTGAACTATTCTGTATGAAGAAGACCAGAAAGTAGGGAGAGAAAAATTCATTGTGCTTTAGAGCACGGCAGTAGTTCTTACCATGTCTTTGGAAGAGCATCCATGTTATTCCAACCATTCTTAGCTAGTTACAGCCCTTTGGGGGCATTTAAACAGCTGAACATTGTCAAACCGTGAGACATTCCAACTTTTGTTTCCTTCTGGGACCTCAGTGGTACTAGGAGCTACAGCTGTGCTAAGTGAGGGAGTCAGTTCAGTTTTACACTGAATTTTTTAAAAAGGAAGGGTTTGTTATTTTATTAATCATGCTTTCCTTTATAATTTCATTTTTATGATAATGACCATGTGTTTTTGCAACACAGAACATTTCTTTCCATGGAATTTTTCAGATTTGCAATAAAAAAGAAATGTTTCACTTCCAGATAGTTTCTGCCTTCATCAGAAGCAGTGCTCTTTTCCCAAGAGATAAGGTTCTCCTTGCAGGATCAGGAATTCCAGAATTCTCATGTGGAGGAAGTGAGAGTGACCACAAATGACCTCATCCCTTGCATGCCAAAATGCAGCTCCTTCAATCCTACCTTTTCCAAGAGTCGTTTGCAATTTAGTAGTGCTAGTTAATAAGATGGGACCAACACTCCTAAATGTGTGTGCCAAACCATGGAGAGAATTTGGAAAAAGGAAAGACTTCTTTTTATACTTCAGTACAATGGGATGGCAGACTGATGAGTCTTGAATTATAAGAAAATGTGAAATAGAGTAGAAGTTTATGACTGAAGTATGAAATTATGATTTAGGAAATCTTGATTTAGTTTTAGTTTTTCCTTAGATTTCATGTTATGTAATTTCCCGTTCTCCATTTGTAAACTGGGAATAATTTGGGAGGGAGAAGACAACATTTATTTAAGCTACCAAGAGAAGAAAAGAGTTTATAAGCTGTGTTTGACCTAGTATTCTGGCCATTTTTCAGGGACTACAGAAACTCCTGCAGTTTCTTTTCCTCACAGGGGATCTCTGATGACAAATCCATTTAGCCAGATTATTTTGATGGGAGCTGTTGAGCACTAAATGCTTTTGAAACTCTGTCCAATTAATGTGCAAGAGATCCTCATCTACGCTAATATTAACAAAGAAAAACTTATTTGTGGAAAGAAGTAAACTGATTAAGATACATATTAAAAATAAATTTGTCATTACTGGTGATTGATTTTATCCTTTAATTCAAGACACTCAGTCCATATGGAATTCCTAAATCCTTCTCATTATTTAATTGCAAACATTTTCACAGCTGCTTTCATTTTCATGATGGAATATGTGTTGTGCATTAGATGAAAGCACCATGACCAACTATGAAATAGTTTTATTGTGGGATCAGTGTTTCAATGAAATTTTGGAAATAAACTCTTTGAAGCTCCTGGAGATCCAGTACTACATGATATAGAGAACATTTGTTCTAATTACAGCTTTTATAGGAGAAATATTTTAAAACAGAGAATATGCTCAATTTTCCTAATTGAGAAAAAGAATAATAATAATAATAATAATAATAATAATAATAATAATAATAATATTTTGCTAATTGAGCACTAATTGAGTACCAGGTTTCTTTTTATTTGTCCAGATTTCTTTAAATAGTTCAATTGGTTGTTTTCCCCAGTGTTCACCAGATTTGTAGGTTTTTCCTCTAGGGGATATAGGTATAGGTAGAATATAGAAAAAACAAGGTTAAGAAGTAAATCTGAATCTGTAGGACATTTAGGACATTTCATTTTAGAAACTCTAATGGCTGTTAGATTAGGTGTGAAGAATTGTTAAAGGAGGATTAATTGGAATATTTGACTTSTTTTTCCTCCAGTGTAATTGCTTCTGAAAAGCCTAATTGTTCTCTTTTTTTGTCAGTTTCTTATAATTTTGTACTTTGGTTTTGTGTTTGTACAGTTGCAATATGATTCAATTGCAAACTTATGTTTTGGTATTATATTATGGCTTGTGCACTAAACTCAGGCTGTATAGTTTGTGTTTCAAAATAACTATTTATTACAGAACTAATTCCCTAAGGCTATAGTTCATGCAGTTRCATAATCCTTATTAATTATCAGAGATTGTAAAAGATTCATTCCAAGTCAATGAAACATAAGCTAGAATTTAATGGATTCTGTGGGAGACACTGTGAATGCCCTTAAATAAAACTCAACCCTACCTAGAAGCCAATATTCAATGATTTTAGTGGGAAGTTTCCTCCAGCTTGTGGTGCAATATTTGATCTAAAGCAGATTCAGAAATCCCTGGGCAAAATGTTTCCATTGATTGATTCCATAGYAGATTGGGCCTCACAATTGCTTGTTTTTACTACTTCTGGTGGAAGTCTCTATTAATGCAAAAATACGGAGCTGCTATTTAAGATTTTTTATGCATGTGTTACGATTGTGGACAGATGCTTTTAAGAAATTCCAGATGTTTAAAAAACTGAAGTAAGGAAAAGCCATGACTGCCTTGAAGCTGTTTTTAAGTCAGTCAGGTATGCTGTGTTTGCTCCAGTGTGTAGGTTTGATTACATTTCAGTATGGAGGCATTCTGTACCTCAGAAGCCTGACAGGTGGTATATGACTGAATGCCTTTACCTAGAAAAATGTTTGCAATCAAACRTTTTTGATCCATTTCTGTGACCCATAGTAAATACAGGTGAGGTAGATTAAGCATTTGAACAACTTGGAGRTAACTTCCCAGTTCAATTCAGAACCCCTGCCATCTGTTTAGAGCRCACAGTTAATGTCTTGATAAGACCAATGAACATTTCCTTTTCTGAATGGTAAAGTTACAATGTTTTTATTTGGGGTTCTGCATCATAAAACAAAGAGTTCCGTATGGCAGCAGTTTTGCTGTTTCTCATAACTACCTCAATTTATGTTTTGTACCAGCAAAGTTCTTCAGAAGTAGAGATGTCAAGTCTGTCAGTTTAACTCTTCTCTGGAGCCACTGATAATGCAGAAGATTGCCACAATCTCCTTGTTGTATTTGGAAAATATATTCAGTGGCTTGTCTGTTTCAAAAGGCAAGTTGTTTACCAGTGCTTCACCCCTTGTCTTCTTTCCCAGTGTTAATAGGGGGGCCATTACCTCGGGGACACGAGTTTGAACTACACGATGTTCGATTTCACTGGGGGAGAGAAAACCAGCGTGGGTCTGAACACACAGTTAATTTTAAGGCCTTTCCCATGGAGGTAAGAGTGTGCTGCGCCATATAACACCTGTGAAATGCAAAAGATTTTATTTCATAACCTGAATTCTTGGTCGCCCAGAAGAGACTTTCTTGTAGCTCAGCATGCCTTATGTTTCAACCACAAAGCTATCTTCCTGAGGTATGCTTTAGTGYGGGTAAATTAGGATATGCATCTGGAATAGAATGCCTCCAGCACTCATCACGTTGTATGATTAATTGGTCGTAAAGTTAACTTGCAGAATTATTAACTCCTTTCTTATTAGTGTTCTAACAAGATCTGCCATTTCAACACTTCCTATGTCACCTTGACTAATAGCTATAGATGGGGAGAACTAGCCACTGGAAATAATTCCTTGGTGAGTAATAACAGTTTAGGTCAATTTGCAGTAAGTGTAGAGCAATTTGTTCATGAAACAACTTTACATACTTGAAAACTGAAKATTATGTGATAGTCCTGTGAATGTTCTGCAATATCTCAAAGAATTACAAGATTTTGAAATAGCAGCAAAGTGATAATGCAGTCTTAAAATATTCAGCTTCTTATGAGGTTTGTCCTAATGCTGGGTCCTATTTCTTCTGCCCTCCAGCAGCAATTTGTCATATTACTTCACTTCCCACTGTCCCATTGCTTATACCTGTCAAGGAATGGCTTGGAGTATCCCTTAGACCCTGAGCTAGTTTTAACAGTTTGGTGACTTCAGCTTTTCATCTTTTATTTCATTTACYGTGCGCTATTTGTTTTAAAGAAACTCAGGATTTTTCAGAGTTCTTTAAGTTATTTTTGCCTTATTTATTTATCATAATCCCTCATGAGTCTGAAACTTTGTTTTTTTTACTGTTCTCAGTGCTAGGAAATTTATTATCATAGTGTTCATGGACTGACTTCTGGAATAGAGCTACTTTATAGAAAAGAATATAAAAATATCAAAGAATATTAAAGCAGAACTAAGTGTAAAGATCTTGTGGACTTACATCATCAATCTAATTCTTAGGGTTGATGAAATACTTTGTTTAAGAGTTTGTTTAAGAGTTGTGGGTCAGATTTTTGTCTCTGCTGTTTGGTTTTTTGTACCAGCCCATCACAACCCCCATATATGAACTTACTCACAGGGGGTTTTCAGATGGAATTGTGTCAGAATAATTTAGGTTTGAAATGACCTTTAAAATCAACAAATCCAACCATAAACCTAATAGTGCCAAGTCCACCCCTAAACCATGTCCCTAAGTGTCACATCTACTTGTGTAGATCCCCTCTGCAGGCTGATTCCAGGCAGCTCCTGGAGGTGCAGAATTGCTTGAATGGGTAAGACTCATCAACCAAAGGGAAAACAAAGGAATGGCTTCTGTATCCTGGTTACCTGGCATAATGTATATATAATATGATTTATATGGGCAGTAAGACCTTCAGGATACTGCAGTGTTCCCCTGAGGCAGGAAGCAGCCAATTCATTATGAAATAGCTCTGCTTAGTGCTTTTCTTCAAGGCTGAACCAGCATGTGGTGATCGAGAAATATTCGTATTAGCTATGCTCAAGACTGTATTTGGGAATGTGTCAGGGTTTCCTGTGTCTTTGTTTGTTAAGGATCACTTGCAAACAGTCTTGGTGGTATGTGGGAGCAGTCTATTGATAATCTGCAGAAACCCTAGAATTACTCCAGATCAATGCAGAAAAAAATATGCTTGACCCAGGGATACAAAACAACAAACTTAATAAGTCATGAAGGGATTTCATTCTTCACCTACTTTAAAAGCAGTGCAGCAGCTGCACAAACAGAATTCTGGCACCATTGAAGGACATCACCTGGGGGTGAGCAAGCCAGTGTTTTTCTATTTCCTGCGTCTAAGCAGCTTTCAACTAAACTCTGATTTCCAAGAAATAATTACTGATGCAAAAACTCTCTCAGAAAAAAACTGGCACATAATACCCTGTGAATGTTTCATTTTGTAAACAGATAAATTCTTATGGCAGAAAATGACCAGTTCATCATCTTCTGCCCCAAGTTGCAAGAAAGTGCCCAGCAGTTTGTTTGACAGATGAACTGCATTTCCTTCTGCTATATGCACAAAGAGCTGCTATATTAATTCCCTCTCAAATTATCCAAATCAAATATTATACTTAAGCAATAATAAAACAGGTGCTTGTGGCCTCTGTAAATGTTTATGTAGTACACCTGAGACTCCGGAATGGAAGATTTGCTGTTTCCATTCCAGGCATGGCCTTGTGAGGTTATTTTTTTTTTTTGTGTTGGGTTTTTTTTTTTTTTTTTTGTTTGGTTTGGTTTCTTTTTTAAGGTTTTTTTCTTTTTAGAACAATAACTTTGACCAATGGCCCAGGAAATCTCATTTTCTTAGCTTTTGACATTGGTTTATACATTTGTTGGCAATCATCATATTCTGCATGTATATTTGTCTTGATTTTCACCGAGTTTTACAGAATATCCTGACTTGGAAGGGACCCACCAAGTCCAGCTCTTGATTAAATGGCCCATCTGGGGATTGATCCCACACCTATGGTGTTTGTACCATGCTCTAACCAACTGAGCTAAGTTTGTTGGTTACTGAGCACAGACAGCAATTGATGCCTATTTTGGCTACATCCAAGCAATCTGGTGTAGCTTATGCTTTCATACAAAATGAGCTGGCAGTTTGTGTAACAGTGCATGCCTAGAAATATGCTGAGCACCAAGTGTGTAAGTCTGTGTCTTTTTCAAGTGTAACAAATCTAGCAGAAAATTTTCTTAAGGAACTGGAAGTAATTTCCATGGCAAATGATAAGGATTCTCCTCTTGTTGTGAGAGAAAAACAAGTCAAGGGGATAAGGAATMATATGAAAAGGGAAGTGCTTGATTTAAGTGGGTACATAACAACACAAAAGCTGGGCTTAGCTGATACACTCTACTATACTATTTTAAAACCTGAGCAGTTTTACAGAAATCAGCTTTTAGTTTGAAGAAATCTGAGATGATACTCCAAGACTAGTTACGGACTGGAGCAGCAGTCTGGTATTTTTAGGGCTGAAGACTGTACAGCTTTATTTTATTACCCTAGACAAAATAGTTGTGGAACAGCTTCAGATTATCAGTGCAATGACCTTTGTAAAAGATGTGACCTTTGAAAAAGAGTGTAATTTTTCAAATTCTGGAAGACCAATCTTCAGTTACTTCCTTAATGTCTTCATCTTTGGTACCGTAACTTCTTTTRTAGAAGTTAGGCAATATCCTGTATTACTTGGGTAATATTCCATGTCTCTTAGTGCAAAAATCCATTATTTCTTCTTTCACAGCAGGGGCCTCTGCATGTGGTTAGGATATATAGGTTCATGGTAAAACTGGTTGGACTATAAACCTTATGTAACCTTTGGAACAGCTTCTTGAAGTAATTCATACTGTCGAAAAATGTTATTCATGTGGCTTAGAGGCTGAGTTCCTTGGTTTTTTATTTTCATATGAGGTTCAGCAAAGATGTGTTTTCCACCTTCCTTGACTGAAGAAACCAGAATGTAGATAGTGATATGCCAACGTTTTCATTTTCGCTGAAAAAATCAGTGTTTGCAGTAAGTCAGGAGAGCAGGACAAGACAATAAATAGTTGTCAAAAGTAAACACTTAACACCTCTTTTTAAACCAAGGAAAAGCAGAGGGCTGTATGTAACATTACTCTTCTCTCTTTTCCATGAAAACAAGAGYATGAAGGCTGTTCTTGCGCTTTGGCCAGAAATTGGAAGGACACATCTATGCAACTTTCTYCAGAAATCCTCACCAAGTAAACCAGTGTTACTTTTCCTTTTGGCCAAAGTTACTTTGGCCTCCACATAAGCTAAATGTTTAGTAATGATCTTAACATTGAGAGCCTCTTTCTTTCCAGCAAATGGAACAGGGTACCAAACATGCACATTTAAACAGATAAATGTGATTTATCTGAAGGTGGTTTAGGTGTAGGAAAGAGAGAAACTATTTGGCATCTTTATTCCTCTCCTTCATTCCAGGAGTATGGGTTGGAGAAGGAGGAAAAGCAAACGAAGGACTAATGAAATGGACTCCTTCCCTTACCTTTGATATATAACAGGGAAGAGGAGGACAGGAATTGCAAATTGCAGCTATTTATTTTTGTTGTTAGCAAAGTGAAATGGGAACAGCTAAAAATGAGTTCGCATTGTATCTGATTTCCRTATAAACACAGCATATTATAGTGCCAGGCTGAATGAACTTAGTCAAAAAAGAAATGAAAACCAGCAGGAGAAAGTAAATCATACGATAGCATTAACACTGGTTTATGGAAAAAAATATTTTCACTACTTCTGAAATGAAGGGAAACAGGGAAAAATACACCTTAAAGTTGTCTCTTCTTAGTTGCTCAAGTGGTGGTATGACCAAAGGCACAAACTGACCATAATGGCACAGTTGTTTCCAGACCGCTGTATCAGGGAAAATAAAAAGGTTCCTTTCACTACTTGCAATATATAACCAGGAGGATAATTCGCTGTAATCCATCCCCTTTAAAATGTAGGATTACTTTCACTGTGAACCATGTGAAAGCTCTCAGTAGAAGTGGGTTGGCAGAAAATAATTTAAAAAATGTTTCCAAGATGTGCAGGTAGATTAAAAACTATTATTGTCTGTCCTACATTTTTAGAGTAGAACAGAARAAAATCCAGTTGCTGGAAGGACCAGAATCTGTTCTGGACAGGAATAAAAGCTGTTCCTTTCTGTTGCATAATGAAGAGCAGACTAATTAATTSTGTAGACTCTTTCAGAGTAACTGAAATACCTGCTGCAGTGAAGATAACATAATGCAAAACACATACCCTACCCTCGATTTGATCCAAACCATGAAGTTTTCCTTTGTTCGCAAGAAATGGTGGCTCAAGTACTCATCAAACGGGGTAAAGCTTTAGGGCTACAGGTTGGGCTACTAAAATTCCATTTACCTACTCAAGTATTTACAGTTTTCAGTGTGGGGTTTTCTTGGTGCCCAGCTCTGAAATCAGGTATCTGCACACTG